ACAGGCGCCGCCCCAACAAGCTCTGACACCGCCCGATTCCCAAGAAACCAAAACCCTCGTTTCCCGACAAAAAGCCCAAATATGGATTCCCGAAAGCTTTCTGCTTTACTCTCTTCTCTCGTCTCCCAGTTGTTGCTCTTACTCCTCCTCTTCGATTCCAATTTCCACGATTTCAGTTCAAATTACAATGGAAATCTCTTCTCTATCATCAATCATCTTCTCTCCAGTCAAGAAATCGCCGCTTCTCTTTCTCTCGTCTCCGTTTCCAGGAAACGGAAGAGAACCCACTTGGCAGAACCTGCATCCGAACCCGTTGAGGAGGAAAGTGGTTCCGGAATCGGACCTGAATTCGCCCTGACTCGGAGTCCTGACTCGTTTAAGAACTGCTTCAAAATGTCCTCTTCTACCTTCGAATGGCTCTCGGGCTTGCTCGAGCCGTTGCTGGACTGCCGTGACCCAGTCGGTTCGCCGCTGAATCTTTCGGCAGAGATTCGGCTGGGTATTGGTCTCTTCAGGTTAGCTACTGGATCGAGTTACCCTGAAATTGCAAAGAGATTTGGGGTTTCTGAGTCCGTGACTCGGTTCTGTTCTAGGCAATTATGTCGTGTTCTTTGCACCAATTTTCGATTCTGGGTCGCGTTCCCTGGTTCAGATGAGCTCAAATCGGTATCTGCCTCTTTTGAAGAACTTGGTGGGTTACCAAATTGCTGTGGTGCTATTGATTGTACTAGGTTCAATATTGTTAAAGAAAGCAATGGGTGTGAATTGACTCAATTAGGGAAGCTGAAGGAAGATAGCATTGCAACCCAGATTGTTGTAGATTCATCATCCAGAATTTTGAGCATTGTTGCTGGTTTTCGTGGTGATAAGAGCAATTCAAGGATCCTAAAGTGTTCAACATTATATAAAGATGTTGAGGGAGGGATGTTATTGAATTCGAGTCTAGTAGGTGTGAATGGAGTGCCTAGAGGGGAGTACTTGGTTGGTGATGGAGGCTATCCTTTGCTTCCTTGGCTAATGGTGCCTTTTGTTGATGCAGTGCCAGGGTCAAATGAGGAGAAATTCAATAGGATGTTGGGTCTAATGCATGTTCCGGTTTTGAGAACCATTAGTAGTTTGAAGAGTTGGGGTGTTTTGAATAAACCAATAGAGGAAGAATTGAAGACTGCTGTTGCTATTATCGGAGCATGTTCGATTCTGCATAACGTTTTGCTTATGAGGGATGATGATTCTGCATCGTGCGGAGGGGTGGGAGAATATTCAGTGCCGGACAATAGCTCAAAGCATCACGGGGATACTAGTTTGGAGGAAATTTCAATTCAAGAAAAGGCTTTAGTTATTCGAAATGCATTGGCTACAATGGTTAGTAAAACCCAGGTGTAAAGTTAGGAGGGGATTTCAGCAGTTTGCTTCAACTACACAGCTCAACCACACGGGTCTAAACATAGGCAGATTGGCTGACCTTCATGATTCAACATTTGAGAATAGGTAATTGGGGATTCTTTTATCTCTTGTTAATAATGATCCATTGAATTGAAAATTTTTTTTCTTGAATTGTTGCCTTGAGTCACTGAGAAAGCCCTCTTTTCTTACCCTCTCTATCAATTAATTTGTATCAACCAACAAGATCTAACCTCTTCTTTAGATATTGAAGCACATCATAACGATTCTTCTATCTGATAATGTAGGTTGATATCTGTCAGATGCTATATATTTGCTATACATTTTGAGTCCTTTGTAATGCAACATATTATCTTAGCTAGCTTTCTATTAATAAGTCAAATGGATGACAGATAGCTAGGTGAAAAATGTTTTATGTGGTTTTTGTCCCACCAGCGTAGGAATGATATGTTACTGGGGAACTTACCAGAATGGTGAATCTTTATGCAACTATTTTGTCCATGGTAATTTGCAAAGACAATGTGTACATGATAAAAAATGAAAACGTGTGCTGACATGAAGAAGAGATGAGTTTAATTGAGCATTTGATAATACAGTAATTGAGTGAAATGGTTCAATATTTGCATAATCATAATCAGTAAATTCTATGGTAGAGCTTAGGTAGGTGTGAGTTCCATGGGTTCTTACTTCTGCTGGTTTAGGGCCTGCAAATTGGTAACTTTACAATTCTAGAAACTTCAGCAATTAACTGATTGTTGCTTCTTGTAAATATAAGGCTTTCACTTTAAGATACATTTCAGTTTGAGGTCAAAAAGATGCTGAGAAAGTAATTTTGGATATTGCCTCAAAGAGTTTATGATTTGATGACAGAACAAAATGGATTCACTAGAACATAGTTGATGTTGTCATGTTGGCTTATATATATATATATATATATATATATAGATAGATAGATAATTGATTTATTAGGAGACTGTACAGGTCGGCTCATTCTGAGTAAGGCAAAGGAAGCCTTAACAACATAGACTTTAATGAATGTACAAAATGTACTTTGATGATGAAGTTTTGTTCTAATGTTGCTTTCTCCATTCAGAATGAACGATTTAGTCTATCCATCCGATGCCAGTTTCCAGGTTATGGTGGGTTTATCCCATTGTACCATTTTAGCTTTAATAATCAAACGGAAACAATTACAAAATCAATGTTTAAGCAATCTAGATTGGTTTTAAACATTCCAATTGAATTGCAAGCCTAGTGGCGGCGGTGGAAGAATCCCTTTGGTATTGTGCTGTGTTTCAAATTCTTGTTGGTTTGAGTACTGTAGCTGTTTCAGTGTTTTGAGATGTCAGTTGCTTTCTTTTTGCTTTTCTTTTAGTTTTGATTACTTTCTTCTGTTTAGTTTGGGTTACTGAGTTTTTTGTTTTTTAGGTAGAACTCGTGAGTTTTAACTTTTAACTTCAAAAGTAAAGGAATGTTTGGTTTGAGGTGGAGGGGGAGGGGGAGGGTGTGGAAGACAATTCCTTTATTTGGTTAAAAAAAAACAAAAAAAGAAGGGAAAAAGGAGGGAGGAAGAGGAAGGAATTTCTCTACTTTATTTTTTATTTTTAATTCTTTTATTTTGTATTTTACTTTTAATTCTTTCACTTATCTAAGTGAGAGAAGAGATGGATACTTCTATTTCCCTCCCCTCCCTCCCTCCCTCCCTCCCTAAAAACAAGATATCCTTCTTTTCCCTCAAAACCAAACCCACGAAGGCATTTGGTTAGGGAGGAAACTTTCCCCCCACTCTTCCCTTTGGATTCTTTATTTATTTTCACATCTTAATATTTCAATAAAAATAGAGTAAAAAAAACATTTTAAATCTACTTTTCTTCTCATATTTTTAAATGGAAAAAATCCCCCCGAAAACTTCCCTTAGGCATAATTCAATTTATAATTTTTTATTATTTTTTTCTATGTCAATTTTTATCAAATATAAAAGAATTAACAACTTAATAAAATTTTAACAAACTTTCTTTACAAATTAATCCACTTTTCGTGCACATTTTTATCCATCACTTTTCAATAAAGTTAACTTCCAAACAAATTGGTCCTAAGTATCTTCAAAAGGGGAGTTCTCCAAATTTGAACGGTTAACTTCATTAGAGTATGTACAATGAAAGGTTCTTCCCCATGTTTTCTTTAAAAAGAGAAAAGAGACAAAGCTTATGTACAGAGATTGACTTTATTGTTGATATTATTATTATTGTTGTTCTTATTATTATTATTGTTATTATTTACCTGTTTGCTACATTTCGCTTCTTAAACAGGCTAAAATAATTGAATAACACTGGCTACAGTGCTTGTCAACTCAAATTGACCCTTTGAATTTTTTTTTAACTTAAATCCTTTTAATTCAAATTTTATTTTTCACAAAGTTTTTTTTAGTGAAAAATATATTTTTAACCATTCAAATGTATATATAATTGAATTTATTATTATAAGTTGATTTCATTAAAATGTAATTTGAATTTATTAAGGTGGGTTTATATGATGATGGTTTAAACATATAAAATATGAATTGAATAAAATAATATTAGTATAATTTTTTTAAAAATTTTAATTAGATATATATATTAAAAATGAAATGTTTTGTTAAATGTTCTTTGATAATTAAATATATAAAAATATAATTTTATATAAAATAATATTAATTAAGATAATATAATATTAATATAACATTAAAAAAACTTTACTATTGTACAAACTCTTATGCTAGCATGTCATTTTATATTCAATAATATATTTAGCGTAAAAAATTTTTAAAAAGAGTTAAATTTTTTTGATAATTAAATTATAATGTTAAAAAATTAAAAATATTATAATTTAATTAATTAAAAAATTTAACTATACTTTTTTTCATTTCTCTTAAATTAAATATATTATTTAAAAATTAAAAACATTCTCATAAATTAGTAATAATCTCTATTTTATAATAAATTTTTCATATTAAATTTAACATTTATAAAATTTAAAATGTGTAAAGTTTAAACCTTACATCTATAATTAAAATATAGCTGTACTGTCACCCTCCAAATCAACTTTTTCATAATACATATGTATATATATATACACCCTCCAAATCAACTTATTTATTTGAGGTGATTTGTAAGGTATATGTATATATTATGAAACACTGGCCCTTGAAACCTAATGATATAGCCACGGTGCATTCCCCTTCCTTGGCAGGGTTCAAAACCTGCCCTTGCAATATATATTAAAAAAAAATGTATATATTATGAAAAAGTTGATTTGGAGGGTGACAGTACGGCTGCTGAGTATTGATTTGGGGTGTGACAATACAGCTCACGAGAGTACATGGTCCATCCATAGACTCCTTTATTTTGGACTCATTCGATAATTATGTTATCCTTAATGATAAGTAATAAAGCTTCTTATTTTCATAGTAAAAAAAAAAAATTTATTACAATTGGATGTCATTTTGTCTCTCAAATCGATGAAAGAAATTTGTTACGTAAAATTTAGAACACAAAACACTAAATTCATTCAAAATTAACTGACTAGGCTGATTTATGACGTCATCATGACGTAATCATTTAAAAGGGGTGATTTGCAAATAAAAAAAAAAGTAGAAGGGGTGATCTGCCAAGTTTATAGGCTGATTTGCACCTTCTGCCTTTCTACAAAAGCTAAAAACAATTGCTCCAAACCTCTAAATTATCACACAAAATTGGGCAAAATTAGGCAACATAGAATTTCAAATGATCCTTTTATGAATCCGATTTGAAAAGTCATTGTAGGGTTAGGTTAGATATCCTGTCTGCTGTATCCACTCCTTAAGATATTCTAATGTCTGGAGTACAATTAGTTTAATTTTAAATTACACTTACTCCTAGATAATTTGAGATCTATGCATTTATCTCTTTAATTAACAAAAATGTGCGAGAACCTCCTCGTGATTTAGAGGTCATTTCATCCTTATAAAAGGAATTCTTGAGTCTTGTCCTCAATGTTTAAAAAACAATTAATAAAAATATACGCGAATGACAAAAATACACTTTTGATTCTTTATAATTTGAAAATATGCACTCGACTCTAATTTTTAAATTACAAAAAATCAAGTGCATATATTTATAATTAGAACGATTAAATACACTCACTCCAAACTACATTGAAGTGCAAGTTCCCATTGTAATTCAGCCACAAAGTAAACCCACAAAATTAGAGATGGAGAAAATGACAATTGATCTTCTGGCTAATATTTATGGGGCAGATAGGGCAGGCAAAGGAAAGGTGGTTTTAGTCTCTCATTATTGACCCAGACCTTCAGGGAGTTGTTAGCATAGAAGACTTGACTCGAAGCAAATGATGGACCATTTCTCTCGTAGTCTCCACCATACAAGTTTATAATATATTGCATAAATTTATTTATTTTGAAATTCTCAGTGCATTAAGCACATATAGTTTTTGCTTAGGATATTTTTTATATATTTAATGATAGTTAGGTTATACATAAACATAACTCATTTTATTTTTAAAATTCTTATCACTTATTACAAAGTTTAAATAGATTTTTAATTTAAAATCTTAAATTTGGATATGGTGATAAAGATAAATTATGTCTTAATTTCTAATTGTTTTCATTTTAAAATGAAATTGATGCGTAAGCTACCTCTTTGAAAAGAATGGATACTTCTTTGAGGAAACATAATCTGAATGCATGAATTAGAAGTGTTCATATACAAACCAATCCAATTAATTGGACTCAATCCAAATCAATTTAATTAAAAATCAATTAAAATCTTTATTTAATTGAATTAATTTGGATAAAAAGATTTAAAATTAATTAAATTAATTTGATTTGTAATTTTATTTTATAACTATCCAATCCGAATCGATATTGAAAGAATTAATTTTTTTACTAAAAAAGATATTTCCCGATTCTTATATTCTCACCTCATTTTAACCCTAAAATTATGTTTTATGTATTTCTCCAGTATAATCAAACTCCCAAAATTGTTCTTTTTTTCCTTTTTCTGTGAGACAAAACCAGTCAATCCAATCCGAATGAATTTAATCCAAATTATAGTTAGATTGGTTTAATTGTATTCACTGCATTGAATTGATTTGGCATTTCTTCAACTCAATTAAATTCAGTTGGATAAAAAAAATAGTTGAAAACCGATCCATCAGGACAACAAACACCCCTAGCATGTAGGGCTAGGCACTATACCATAAATGTCACAATTATTATTATATCGTCTCATTATCAGTGAAAATGGTACAAACAATTATTATGTAATAGGTCTAAATGATAATATGACAATACTATTTAGATATGTGGTACGAGATTGATATTGAAGGTCATTATCATATTTATCGTTTGATTACCAAATTTACCACTTGTCCAAAACTTTTTTTTTTTCAATTTTAGAATATTTTTAATAATTTTTTCCTGAAACGGTAGTAATTTTTGAAAATTTCCCAACAATTTGGCAATATAAATAGTAATATCTCATTATCCCTACCCAACTTTCTTCCGCTATTTCTTTCTCTTCCGCTAGAGAGAGAAATTCTCTCTTTTCTCCACTCCTCAAAAACCCCCAAATCTGTGGCCTATAGCTGCTATGGGACGGAGACAAGCAGATCTGGAGATGGATTTCTGGTGATGGAGTGAGATGGATGAAGAAACCTATAGCTACTGGAGATGGAGATCGAAACTAGAGGTGATGGTCAATGATGATGATGGTCAATGATGATGATGGTGGTGACAGTGATGATGCGGATGGTGGTGATGGTCGGAATTGGGGGGAGGGGGCTCCAAGGAGAGAAAAATCAAGAACCTTCCTCACTTTTTCTTTCTTTTTTTTTTTTTTATTCTACGCAGTTTTTAATTGTGGCTGGTTCTCTTTTCTTCTTTGTGATGTGTGCATGTCTAGAATAATTATATATTTGTATGCTTCAAGATGACGAAGAAAGATATAGAGAAAATAAGTTTTTAAGATAATTTTGAGTTTTTAAGATAATTTTGAGTTTTTAAGAGTGAATTTTGAATAACTTGAATTAATTGATAATGGAGAAAATAAATTTAAAGATGGTAATATGGGATGGTGTTGGTAAGGCAAGTTTCATTATCATAAAAAACGATTGGCAACCATTATCAAAAAATCATCAATTGGTATGAAAGTGATAAATTTTTTTCATTACCACTTAAAACAATTATCATCGTTTGAAAGCGGTATGGTAACCACACCATACCATGCCTAGCCCTACTAACACGGATGAGAAGGACCAAGTAAATTGAAGTTTAAGCCTTTTAATATTTCAAAATGTCATTTTTTCCACCTAAATAATATATCATTTGCGTGAAGTTGCTTACTTAATTTTCTCGAACGCTATTTTGTTTCTTAGCTGCTTTTTTTTTTTTTTTTTTTGAAAATCTTAGCTGATTGGTCAGGGGTGACTAAGACCCACAAAGGTCCTTTATATATATATAGTATATATAAAATTGTGCATATTAATTTTAATTTTTTTTAAATTAAAATTTATATTTATATTTAAAAATTAAAATATCAATTTAAAATTTAAAAATTAATTTGATTAAATATAAATATTTAAAATTGAAACTAATTATATTATATTATAATATAATTAGTTTTTAAATTTAAATATAAATATTTAATAAAATAAATTTTTAAATTTTAAATTAAATTTTAACTAAATAAAATAAAATAATTTAAAATTAAAAATTTATTTTATTTTAAAAATAAAGATTGTTATATACTTTTTCATATATATATATATATATATCATTTTTAAGCTCTAAAACCCACAAATCTTAGGACACAATTGTCAGTTCATTTTTCTACCAAAAAAAAACAAATGTTGGTTGTTCTCTCACATTTATTTTTAACTTATGAAATATGAAAGGCAAGTACATAAAAAAAAGTCTAGTTAGGTAAAGCGACATAAGCATCATTTTTATGCAACAGGAGCTTAGTACAGTTAGTATTTATAATCCATTAAACGAAAACTTTCAATTTGAAGTTTAATTAGGTTAAGAATTTAAACATTTAACATGCTGATCAGCTCCAATGTAAGAAGAAAGACGTTTTTTCCTACCACTTTAGCGGTGTCATTTTTTTTTTTTTTTCTTGACAGTTGAAATTATATTAGTAGTATTAGTATCTATTCAAAAATAAAGGAAGAATGTCCCTACTTCGCTTTTTAAATGAGCAACGTGGCCACTAAGCCACGTAGTGGTGAGCTAGCGGTGTCACCTTAAATGTTTAAAAACAAGTGTAATTTAAGAAATTAAATCTCATCTTTAAACACATTAGGTGATATAATGTACACTTTCTAATTAATATAAAAAGAATTTAATTTAGATATCAACATATAAGATTAACTCAAAAACACCTGATTATTTCCAAAAAAAACTTAATAAGGCACAATAATTCCTAATTTCCTAGTGATAATGTTCGTCGTCCCTTACTCCTTGTTCTGCCCAGTGCCCACCAACTACCCATAGGAGCCTTTCCTCCCATCTGCCTTTTGTTATTTCTCTCTTCCCTTCACCAACCTCCCACCAACTCTTTCTTAGCCACACATGTAACATTCTCGTAGCATGATTAGCAGGTCCCACCACCACCCACTTCAAGAGTTGTATATATCATCTGTTTAGTTTCATTGAAATTTCAACTTATGGTATACAGTTTTGAGAGACGCGCAATTTAAGATAATATTTATATATATAATATGCAAATGATGATTGAATTTTTTTTATAGAGATAATTAAAATTTTTAATTAAACAAAATTATTTAATAAAAATTATATATTTAAAATTTTAAATTATTATTTACATATTATTTAAAGATATTATTTAAAATTGCTTATAAAAGCAATATGTGAGAACTAAATTCGGCTGAAAGAAATATCATTTTTGAAATTAATGTTTTCAAAATTGGGATTTTCTAAAAGTATTATACTTCTATCCGTACAGTCTAACTTGTATGGCGTGAGTCTTTAATTGATTTAGGATCTCTGCAACTGTAAATTTGACATGTGCTTGTGCTTGATGTTTTGGCTTTGACAAGATCATCTTAAAATAAAAGTGCCACCATACAAGGCGGGTGGGTTTTACCCACATGCTATAATGTTAACGGTACATATTTTTATTTTATTTAATAAATAAAAATTAATTTATAAATTAATATTTTTTAATATTATAATTAATTATTTTTCAAAAAATTACAAAATAATAAAATAACAATCAAACTAACTAAAATTTGCATAATCTTAGGAGAACGATTCGAGGTCAAAAGTCAAAACCACTCTATATAATTTCACCGACACGTGGATTTTTTTTTCACAAGTGCACTTGGGTCCTTTCAGTTTACACGAAGCAGAAGCACAAGTCAACTTTACAGCTGCAGAGAACCCACAAATCAATGAAAGCCTCACGCCATATCGGCACTTCACCAACCCCCGACCGGGTTGGCTGGCGGTCCAGCCACCTCGACCTGGTTCAAACCGAATCTCCTTCTTCCATATAAACTCACCTCTACCTTTTCCACCCCTCAGGTCTCCCACAAGCAATTTCCAAGCTCATCTGCAATCAACAAAGTCAAGTTTTGCATCAATGGCCAGCAAAGGAGAGGAACAGCAAACCCAGGCTGGAAGGCACCAGGAGGTCGGCCACAAGAGCCTTCTCCAAAGCGATGCTCTTTACCAGGTACATACACACATATACATCACCATGATCAACTCAAGCATTTCAATTTCTCACCCCATGATTGATGTTTGATCATATCTGATTTTGGGTTCCGTTTTCCTTTGGTAAAATTTCAGTACATTCTTGAGACTAGTGTGTACCCTAGAGAGCCTGAACCCATGAAGGAACTCAGAGAACTAACTGCCAAGCACCCATGGTGCGTTTTCCTAATTCAAAATTACTCTCAATTTCTTTCTGATGATTCGATCATTCTTTGATTTTTGGGCTAAATGGTACATGAAAACAGGAACATCATGACCACATCCGCCGACGAAGGCCAATTCCTGAACATGCTTCTCAAGCTCATCAATGCCAAGAACACCATGGAAATCGGTGTCTACACCGGCTACTCCCTTTTAGCCACAGCTCTCGCTCTCCCTGATGATGGAAAGGTCCTTAAAATTCCAAACAAAAACACCCATTTCTTCTCTCCTCCTTCCCCTCTGTAGAGCAAAATGAAAATATTTTCCTGTGTTTGATTGTTGCAGATCTTAGCCATGGATATCAACAAAGAAAACTACGAGCTAGGTTTGCCAATAATCCAGAAAGCCGGCGTTGCCCACAAGATTGATTTCAAGGAGGGCCCTGCTTTACCCGTTCTTGATCAATTAGTCCAAGATGTAAGTCATTCAATTCCATTATTCTAGTACTTTAAGGTTTTGAAATATATCAAGTTGCATACCACCAACCATTCTAATGGATGATGTTATCCAGTTCATAATAATTTTAATTTTTGAAAACAATGGTGTTAAAATAGAAAGGGAAAATTTTGAATGGTGATGTGCAGGAAAAGAATCACGGCTCCTATGATTTCATCTTCGTGGACGCTGATAAGGACAACTACCTAAACTACCATAAGAGATTGATTGAGCTGGTGAAGGTGGGTGGAATAATCGGCTACGACAACACCCTTTGGAACGGCTCCGTGGTGGCGCCACCCGATGCGCCTCTCAGGAAATATGTTAGGTATTACAGGGACTTCGTCTTGGAGCTCAACAAGGCTCTCGCCGTGGACCCCAGGATCGAGATCTGCATGCTCCCCGTCGGTGATGGTATCACCCTCTGCCGCCGGGTCAAGTGAGCAAGCCGCCGAGGTTGACGCTGGATAACTTGAGAGCACATGTAGTGTTCTTCGCCCCTTTTTTTTTTTTACTCTGCAAATTTTATTGCTAAAGTGTTTTGTTTGTATGTGGATGGACGGTGGATGGTTAAAGAAAACCTTATTTTAATAGTGATGATTTAATTTAATGTTCGAAGATCAAATACATCAGCGAATAAATATTTAAATTTTTATTTAGTATGGCACCTTTTTTTTTTTCATAAAAAACAGAAAGAAATCATTTCAAAGAATCTTTTATTTTTTAATTTTTAGTTTTATAAAAAAAAAATAGTTAACTCTTATCACTTAACCAACTTAATTTACCTATCATATAATTTAAAATCAAAATATTTTAGTTCCACTTAGAGGAGATTACTACTACAATCTTTTTTTATTTTATAGTAATATCAAATTCCATTTAATTTTATGCACTTTTTTATGTTTTTGGTAAATAATTTGGTTGAAAGTATTTTTTTTTTAAACAACTATAACTTTCTAAGAATGAAGAAAGAAAATGGAATCAAGAGTAGTTGAATCTTAGCTAAGTGGGTGACAAGCAACATTGCTTACACCTACCCATAAGCTAGGTTCAATTTGGTAGAAAGTTTTTTTTTTTTTTTGGTATATTACAATTTTAAAAAAAAAGATTCAAATCATAACCTTAAAGTTAAATGGTACAACTTACAGTAAAATATAAAACTATCAAATCCTAAAATTCAAGTGCAATTTAATAAAAAGTTTGGTAAAGTGAAACAATGAATTATCAATTTTACCGTCTAGGTTGCATAAGAAACTCAAAATATTTTTCTTAACAAGGCAATTATATTACGACTATATATTGAGGAAGGAGGGAATAATATTAGTGGTGAAATTTAAAACTAGAATCAAGGCGCTAAGCCTTTACCATTTGTCACAAATGTGGTTTTTTTTTTTTTTTTAATAAGAACAATTTAAAAATAAGAGATAAAAAATCTTAACACAATAATACTATAATTTAAATTTTAATCATTATAAAAATATTGAGTACACCAACCAGCTTATCCATGAGCCAAATGCATTTGCCACAAATGTGGTTGGGTTGGCATACGTCTTCAAATGGAAAGGAATGTTGGAGTGGGAATGATCCATAGCAGAAAATACCTTTATTTATTGGCACTGTTCCACCAACCGCACCTCACCTAACCTAATTTATGAATTAAGTACAACAACTACACACAGAAAAGCCATAAGAATTTAAAAACATATTTTTCTCCATGAGCACTGCATCAACCATTTAACAAATAGTTGTTTTGAGTCGATCTCAAAATTTACCTTTCCATAAGCACTGCTTCTAGCCACTTCAATACCCTTCCTCAAGGCAATTGCTAGCTTCCATCATCAAAACCGAACTAGCAGGCTCAGTACCACGTCCCCCATTAATGATTCTGTCTTCACAATCTCTCACCACCACTCCAAAACCCCTCTTCATTTTAGGCAGCCTCAGAGATATTCATCACAATTGACTTCGACAGCAACTGGTTCTGGTTTTGCCTAACCTTCCTGACTTTGCTGCCTAGCTGCATTGTTGGGGAAATAATCCAACACCCTAAACGGGGCTTGTAAGGTTCCCAAGGGCTCAGTTATTTTATGAGTCTTTGTTTACTCCACGTATGCATGACACTTGATCCGTCTAGATTTCATCACGTAGACAACTTCCCATAACTCTCTAATTATAAATATTTCTCAACCACCTCATTTAAAAGGTAATTGATATTATCTTTCTACATTTATTGCATTTTGGACTTTCTCATTCTAAACTTTCTCAGCTCCAGAATATTGCTCAATTAGATATCAAAATGTCTACCCAAAATTCGACTAGTCTACATATCCTACAAGAACATGTGGATCAAGGTAGTGAAATAGTTTGAATCTTTGCAACAACATACACCATGGATGGTAGCTCCGGGAGCCCTATGAATTAGACCCTACTCGGTTACCAAACTTGTAATTAACCTTTTTGATTGCATCAACAGCACCTACCTTCACCTTCTCATAAACTGCCTTTGCATCTCATTTTCCAAACTATCCACCATGTATAAGTACATCATACCATAGCAATGGAATTCCTTTCCTCCTTGCTTCTATTCAAAATAGAACAAAACCAAGAATCCATTGTAGTTTTTTTAATAAATCAAATTCATTAAAGAGAGTACAAGTGATACTCCAACCCTTATACCTTGTCTCAAAAAGTTTTAAAAGAAAAGACAACATATAAGGAAATAGAAGTTTGAGGGGTTTAGACCCCAAAGGCACATAAATTTGGGAAAAGGCACCGCTCTCCATAGCTAAAGGTTGCCTTTGAGAATTTATCTTTTATATCACAAAAGGTTCTAGATTGGACTGCTTTGAAGATTTTGTCTTCATCCCTTCCGTTTCTGTAATACCAAATCAATCACGCAGTTATTTCCTTTCTATTTGCTGAATAATTGAGAAGCCCACCAAGCCATACTCCCGTACCCTTCAAATATTCATATTCTTATCCCTCCTGACCCAATAAGCATCACGACTAGTTATAATTCCCTAGCATTGCTTAGCAAGAAGCCAATAAGGGCCTCATTGAAGTCCTCCAAATCCCTGAAGCCCAAACCTACGTTCTCCTTGCTCCTGGCTAATTTCTCCCAGCTTTGCGAATTAATGTATATCTTCTTCTCATCTTGAAGATGTCCCCACCAAAGCTTAGAGATTGCTGAATTAATCTTCTTGCAAAGCTTTGTAGGGAACCTAAACAGCATCATTGGATAGGCTGGAACTAACGTTGCCACAGATTTTATCAACATTGAAATTGTTAATTCATTTTTTATTTCAAGTGATGATGCTCTACCGACCACCATCTAAATTATCCCTTTTTCCAACTAATTCAAAGGCGTGTCCTTATTTTTCAATTAATACAAAAATTATGTTTCTTATTTCAAAATAATTAAAGTTTGTATCCTTATTTTCACACCTTACCTAATTTTATCTTAAAATAGTGCCACAATACGTGATACTATTATTGTAATTTTTTTTTAATAAATTAAAATTATTTATATATTAATTAAAAAAAAATTCTGTGAGATTCAAACCCACTGCCTACATGATCATGCCCCTAGCTTGGAGTAAGCCGTTCCACACTGTTATTGTAATTAAATCTTCTTACTTAATATGCTGCATAAATGAGTGCGCAAATTTTGAGACGATACTGTTATTATTATTATTATTAATTTAGCACGAAGGGCAGATGCTTATCCAAATACTGAAAGAGAGAGATGTCCATGGCCTAACCACACCCAGCATATCATTATGGTAAAAGAATCGGAAGGTTGGCAGTTGGTTGTTTGGTACCACGTTTAATCATTGAGAGAGATGTTATGAAAGGAACGATCCAAGTTTTACAGCAGAAATAGAGAAACTCCTTTGAGAGCTTTCAATTATTTTGATTTATTTTTCTGCCAATTCCTATCTCATCATTCAACACAACTAAACTAATAAAGCCTTAATATTTTTTTAACTTTCTCAGATTTCAGACTCAGAACACTCCCAAAACAATCCAGCTTGCAACCCACCAAATTGCCGAGCCCTCGGCCTTCTGCGTGGCATGGAAATGCCCACCGCTACCCGAAGTAATCCGACTTATTATCTGGTACATCCTGATACTTCTTCTCATTATAATTTAGACCACAAATTAAGTTCGACAAATTCTATAATATTAGGCTTAATTTGACAATATTGATTTGTGACAGCAGCTGTAAGTTTTTTTTTGTCCTTTAACACTCTAAAAATAAATAAAATATATTTAATATACTTAATATTTATTTTAATTAATATTTTATATATTTTTAAAATAACAAAAATACATAAAAACTAAAGGGTAAAATATCGATTAAGTGTTGTCATACAAAACTTAGTCTTAATGATAAGGGCACAAGCATTGAACCGAGGTAAGTAAAACCGAAGAAAAATGCCTCAAATTCCATACAGAACTCTTTAGTCCACTGAAGAAACAAGGAGAGGTTTTCAATATTAAAGTTTTCTTGATGAAGGAAAGACCATGAGACTTGAAAAGACCCAAAATTACTCCATAATCAATAGAGATAGTTCTCACATGAGCTGAGGCAAATGCAATACTCGAGAATATTCTCCATGATCACTAGACACCATGCTCTGAACCCAAGGGAAAACAGAATTCACTCAGCTTTAAACCTCAAACATCCCACTAACAACACAAATCTTACAATTCATCAACTCTCTCGTGTTAAACTCAGAACACTCCAGTTTATAGTTCTATTCTATTCAAAGTTTCAAACTACATTTCTGTTGAAAGTTCCTATAGTTCTACTCTATTAGCAATACTTAAATCAACAAAGTCTAGAACAGGACAGGCATTGAAGCAAAAAAATGCCTCAACATCAAGACAAAGAAATCTTCACTGAAGAAACAAGGAAAGATTTTCAAGATTGAAGTTTGACAAATGACAGAATGGTAGAAGACACAAAAAGATCCAAAAGAATTATATAATCAGAGTATTTTATATATGAGGTAGATGACAGACGTAGAAAACATATTCTCTATGATCACTAAACACTATACCCTAAACCTAAGGGAACAAAAAGAATTAACTCAGCCTCAAACCTCAGACATTCTCACTAACTACAGAAATCTTATTGTAGTTGTACATAAGCTCTTCAAATCTCCAACATTTCTTTCAGAGATTTTAAATGAAGGCAACCACACAGAACACATGAAAATTTTACACAACTTCTTAACAAGACCAACTAATAAAAGACCCATTTCTCTCAGAAATTGAGTAAGTCCCAGTATAAAAATGTCTTTAGAGACCAGCTCTAAGTGCCAATATCAATGGTTACTCATTATTTCAATGAATCATTTCCTCAGACAGAAGAAACATCAATCCTGTTGTTAACAACAAAAATACAAACTCTACAAATGACCAATTCACTCGGGTATCTAAACAAGAACTATCAAACCAACGTATTCCAATATAACATAATACCTGACCCATTTCTCTCAAAAATTAAGTCCCAGTATAAAAATGTCTTTAGAGACCAGCTCTAAGTCCCAATATTAATGGTTACTCATTATTTCAATGAATCATTTCCTCAGACAGAAGAAACATCAATACTGTTATTAACAACAAAAATGCAAACTCTACAAATGACCAATTCACTCGGGTATCTTCTAAACCAGAACTATCACACCAACGTATTCCAATATAACAGTAAGATTTATAAGCTAAAAGTAACAAAATCCCACAAATAACTGATTCTAGTTTCATCAATACAATCCAAAACCTCAGCAACATAACAGTACCTCTTATGAGTAGATAAAATAAGCAAAACATGAATTAAAATTTGGAAACTTTAAACAGTCATAACTACGAATACTAATCTTCCCCAGTTCATAAAACTTAAAAGCATAAGCATTATCCCTGAAAAAAGACAGAAACCCAGACTACTAATTTTCCAAAACCAACAGAGAGCTTAACGATAACTCTTCTGGAACCTCGCCCTTGCACCTCTTCCACCAAACTTCTTGGGCTCGCACCGCCTGGGATCAGCCACAAGCAAAGTCCGATCATACCTGACCAAGATGTCCTTGATTTCCTTCTTGCTCTGCTCATCAACGTACTTCTGGTAGAAAGCCACGAGAGCCTTGGCGATGCTCTGACGGATGGCGTAGATCTGGGAAGTATGCCCTCCACCCTTGACGCGGATCCTCATATCGACGCCGTTGAAGCGAGAACGGCCGAGGAGAAGGATTGGTTCAACTGCCTTGAAGCGGAGGATCTCAGGCTCCACCAGCTCGATAGGGCAACCGTTGATCTTGATGATTCCTTTGCCTTGCTTGCAGGTGGTCACAGCCACCGCCGTCTTCTTGCGGCCAAAGCATTGCACCATCGGAACGGGAGCTTTCTCTGCCATTTTTCGCGGTTCTCTCTTCTCTACTATAGCCAAGTTGCCGCGGGAAACCCTAGCGTCCCACGATGGTCGTGCTTTAAAGAGGTTGAAATGAGGATGAATTAGGGTTTTGGTACCTGGGCCAGCTAAGAGCCCAATTCTTCTAGTCCAGCAGTCAAATGGGGTAGGAAAGTCAAAGAATTTTCATTTTAGTTGGTGGGCTTGGTAGTAAATTCTAGACCCAATAATTATAAGTCCATTGCCTATTTTCCAAAAAAAAAGAAAAAGGAAAAAAGAATCATACAATAAGGGTTTATTTAGTTAGAGTACTAACTTTATTAAAAAAAAATTTTATCAAAAAGATGATTAGAAAATATTATATAAAAATTGAGAAATTTTATAATGAAATTTAGTTAAGTTACTACATTTTTTTATATTGAATAAAAATTAATATAAAAAAGGTGATAGAAAATTTATTAAGTAAGTTTTATATGAGAAAAAGTTTGGAGAAAATCATTTTTCTTAAAAAAGTATGAACAAAATTTTACAAATTAAAAATTATATTAAAATATAAAA